GGAAAGAGGTGAAAAGAGCCAGTTTAAACAGTTTCTTTAGTGATTCCCTAAGTGCACAGGAGTACCACATACATTACAATGGGTTAGATGGCTACAGGATAGCAGGTGTATTGAAGCAGATGAGGCTGCATTGTTACTGTGCCTTAGTAATGTGTGCTCCTGCAGTTGTCACTGTAGAGTGTAGTTTAAATGCGCGACTGCTTTGAAGTAGCACTAAAGTCTGAAATGGCCACAGGCTGGCCCTAGATTGGGGAAGAGATATACAAAGATGGGGGAAAGTCAGTGTTGTCATGTGCTTCCCCTCAACTGTACTGGGCACAATTGGCTCAGCTAAGACGAATTTCTTAAATTTAGTAAGTAGTTACCCAGCTGTCTCGGGTACTGTAACAAACCACGAAAATCAGTCCGCTAACAGAATTATACCACTGATTTAGAGTTGAAGGAGTTGGTTCCTAATCCTGCTTCCAGTGCAGCTTTTTAAATTATAGTCAGATGTTATATTCCACATATATTTGAAAGGACCAAGAAATTGGCCATCCTTTCTCACCTCAGGTTCCCACAAGGCAAGCACTTTGGTCTTTGGAAATAAATATTTGGCTGAGGCTTGAGTAGCAGCTCTTTTCTTGAGCAAAGGTCAGCAAAGCTATATATCAGGTCTCTCTGAGTACTTGTAACACAAGAAATAATATTGACAGAGACACACGTATTGCTCGTACAAGCACAGATTGTAAACTGCGTAGTAATTTCTCTGATGTTTAAGCACTTCGAAGGATAGAAGTGGAAAAAAAAGTGTAAAAAAAACAAAAAAACCCCCCAAAAAGCCACTGTCTCTTCACTTACTGTGCTAGGGAGAATGTTACAATAATGTTGTTGTATATTAAAAATACAGAACGCACAAATCTGATATACATAATTGTCTTTTTGTTCCTTTTCTATTTCAGTAAAAAAAACATATAATCTTCTGTTTTAGACCGAACCTTTCAAGAGCTTCAAGGTTACCACTATAATTTAGTTTAATGTTAGGCATCCAGTCAGTATTCATCTGTCAGAAGAATCCAACTTTATGAGGCTGTTATCATGCAGTAGCAGACATGCATGTGTCTGTTCAAAAGGAGAGGAAAAAGCATACTATAAAGTGATCAAGTTTAGACTAGTTTGGTGAATGCACAGATGGATAGATCTCCATAAACACACATACATATTTTAATTTAATAAATTATGCGTATTTTTGAAAGGCCTGATTTGTTCTCACTCCCGTAAGAGACGAGGAAATAAACTTAAAGACGTTCTTTCTGAATATTTTTTTTGTTAAGGTTTTATTTTGCATATCTCTTATCATGTTTGATGTCTAGAGAAGTATTTCTTCTTTCATTCCTTGCTAGCAATCCAACTTTATGCTTGTCAACAAGCAATGATGCTTGCCTATTTTATAATTGTTTATTACCTTTTTTTAGTCGATAGCTAGCAACTAATGTAAAAGGCAGGAAATAAGGACTACAGATTATGTTCTTGGCTGTGCTGCCAATTGCCCAGGACCTTGGAAAAGTCACTCAATTGCATACTCTCTCTCAGATCATACCCCCAAGGTATATACTTGAGCCTTAATTAATGATGTTACTGCTTTGTTTTAAATTGGGATTTTTATCCAGAAATCCCAAAGTATAGGATTATTAATATTTAAGGTATTTTTTTAACAGTCCTTTTCAATGTTGGGAAAACTGCTAGCCAAATAAATGTTTAGGAGGATGTTTCAATATGTTTATCTTCATTTTACAAAGAGTTAAAATGCTTTGAAAGCAAACAGCATGGGTTTTTTATATTTTATTTTTCAGGGGAAGCTGTGAATGCTGGAGATGCATTGTGTGAAATTGAAACGGACAAAGCAGTGGTTACTATGGAGTCAAATGATGATGGTGTATTGGCCAAAATAATGGTAAGATTAACTTCTCTTGAGCAGGTTAAGGTCATTTGTCAAAGGATGAGGTCACTGCTGATAATAGCTCAAAAAATATTTTCATATGGACTTCAGTTTATATTTCCTTTCCCTCCCCTTCAATTTTCATATAAAAATACACTTCAGGGGTGGAGGCCTTTGATTTAAGCAGTGGAAAGAGTGGGCAGGAAGCAGTTTTGTGCATCTAAACATGGTCTAGGACAATGGGGCCCTGATTTGACTGGACTCTGTGTGCTGTCCAGTTGTAAGGAATGAAATTATTTTATCCATTTTGACTTACAAGTTTTATAAAATGGTGACCGTATTCTGGTTTTGCGCTTTAAAAGCTGCTTACCAGACATGAACGCCGCCCCCCCCCCCAACAAACAAACAACCCCCAACAAAACAAAAAACCAAAACAAAAAACAGCAATTTACTTTCAACTTGCTGTACCCCTGTGCCAAGCTCAGCATGTGCCCAGAAAAGGCATCGGGTCAATTTGACCCGGCTCACCCAATGTCTTTATAGATTGGGCACTTCAGCGGGGCTTTTTGGCGCTTTTATCTAATAGCTGATTGAATCCACCACTGAAGTGTGTGATCTATATAGATGTTGGGCGAGCCAGGTCGAATGCCTTCCTTGGTAAAGTACTGGGATTTTGTTCTTTTTGTTTTTTCCTCATCTGTCAGTGGGGTCTAAACTCAACTCATTCCTCACAGACTTTTAGAATAATGAGAAATAGTTTATTTTGTGTGTGTGTTTATATATGTATATATGTGTGTATATACGTATGTGTATATATGAATTTGCTGGTAGAATGGTATTGCATATCTCTCTTCCTCCCCATCCTTTCCTACTTCTATAGTACTGAGTTCTGTATAGTTACTGGATCCAGAAGTTAAGTCTCTGTCGCACAGTGATTCTCAACCAAGGTGCTGTGAGATCCAGAGGGTGATGCAGAGTGCCACTTGATATTAGCAGTGTTAAGTCTGCAAATACTATGCGTGATTCACAAGGTAAACCCAGGAATTTCAAATAGGAATCTATAGGGTCAGAACATTCTGATGTGCTGTGGTCTTAGAAGTTCTTTGCAACAGAAGAATGGTTCTATTATTTTTATGTTGTCAAAAAACAGTAACAACTAAGAACTGGCATGAGGGTACCTTCAGTCTGAAATCGTTGATAAATACTATTACCACCTGGTTCTTAAGAGAGTCTCATTGATGATTTACTATATGGACAACAATGAATATATACAACATATTAATTTAATTAAAACATTCAATTCAAAGCTTCTAGTGATCATTTTAGTCTTTTATTAAAAATCAGTGAAAGCTGTCATAGGCAAGTTTAAAACAAAACTTCTGACAAATTTTGGAAACAATCTTTCACAAAAGTATTGTCCAAATATATTCAGTTCCTCTTAACCGACTCAAGAAAACGTAAACTGGCAGTCATCTGTATTCTTGTTGGAAATCTATTTTTTTAAAGAGTTGCAAGTTAATTTCTTCCTTTGTTAGCTTTCCAGAAGATGAATCGTATTTGACCATACCCATTTAAAGAAATAGGCGGTTTACAGAGAGTTCAGGGTACTATCTGGATTAGGTTTGACAACTCATTGAATTTCTATTTTCAGAGATTTAGTTTAGCTACAGAATAAGTGGTTTTCTGCTTAATGTAGTGTCTCTGTTCCCAAGATTTGAATTCCCTTCCTTCTGACACTTCTGAAGTTTAATACATGCGGGTATATAGGGGATAATGAGAGTTAAGGTGTGGGGGCTTGAGGGAAGTAAGTTCAATAACCTTTCATAATTGCTTTTTTGTGGAAAGCTTCAGGAATCATGGTGAAGTTGAGTCCTGTATTTGTGACATGACTTGGGAAAATCTCCCACTGGGAATCTCTTGGCTCCTTTGTGAGATAAATAACTAGAAAGCTTTAGTTTTGGAACTTTGTTCTGACATCCTTGTTTTGAAATAAACATGACTGACTTTGTAGCTGTGGAATGCTTCACTGTCACTGTAGTTGAGGTTTTATAAGTATCTGGGACTATTAATATAGGCCAGACTGTGCTCTGGTTCTGCAAACATTGTCTTTCCTCCCTCAAGGCTTGATCCCAATGCCCAGTGAGATCAATAGAAAATTTCATATAGACCCATTAACTTCATGGAACTTCATTTCCCAGTTTTTCACTTTGATGGATTCAATTTGATTTTTGCAGAACTGTTTGTGAATTGTAAGTTCCCTGTTTTGATATGAGAGCTATGGAGATGGCTAGGCATAAATCCCACAGCACAGATCTGAGGCTAACACCATTATATTAAAGACATCCCTCTTTCCATAATGAATATTTTGTATTCGTTATAGTACGGACTTCAAGAGAATTTGGTTTGGTAGTGGCCACTACTGAAACACAAGATATAGCACAATTGCATTAGAGAAGCTTGGCCACTTAGATGTTTCTTAAAGCCATTCAGGTATGTGGAGGTAGGGATTTACAGTCACCTGCTCTGTAGTAAATTCCCATGTATTTGGTATAATCTTGCATTAATCTAGCCCTCAGTACAGAAGAGGATGATATGACTGTGTGTGATGTATCATCTTCACAGATCACCTGTACGTGAACCAGCCCACTGCTACTTGGGTGAAGTCAAACTTTCTCTATAATCTGCTCTGGACTGTGCTTGAGACAGCAGGGATCCTGTCATCTGTGATCTCTGCCCCTCTGGGTGGCACCTAGCACGGAGGAACGAGGAATCAAACATAAGGGAATAAAAGCCAGACTTAGCACATTGCAAGAAAGGACCAGGAGTGGAAACTCAGAGCTGGCAGGGAGGTAGGGTGGGGAGCCATGGAGCAGAGACTGAATGAGTGTGGATCAAGACTGTGAAGTAAGGGAAGAAAATGAAAGTTGAGAGAGGTTGGATGAGATGCAGCAAGGGAGATTAAGGTTGGCTGGCCAGGCAAGAATACTCCTAACAAAGAACTTGAGTCTGAGTTGAAGGGGTCTGAGAGTAGCTGGACAAGGAGTCTGGGAGAGACTTGGGGTCAAGGAAGTTTAAGATTAAGACTTACTGGGAAAGAAAATTGGGACTGGAATCAGAAACCTGAGGGTGGAAATAAATACTGGTGAGGAAACTGGAAACAAGATGGTCAGATAAACTTAACTGGGAATGAGTTAAAGAGGATATAGCAGGAGTCGACCCTGGAGGTAGTAGGTGTCTTTCTGTGGCTGCTCTTGGCATGCTTGAGAGTAACTGTAGGGGATGCTGTCGAAGTGTATTTTCTGGTTTAGGGGTATTGGTTGTAGCTGTGTTGATCTAAGGACGTAGGCGGACAAGGATTTTTGGGTAAATCTAATATCTTTTATTGTACCAACTAAAATAGTTGGAGAAATTCTTCTTTTCAAGCTTTTGGGTACAAACACCTTTCTTCAGGAAGGGGAATCTTTTAGAGTATTCACACAGGAACGAGGGATGGGTGTGCTCAGGGCCATCTTTGCTGAGGGATGCTACTGCTGCAGTGTATACCTGGCCCTGGAACTCTGAGTCTTTGCTGTCAGCTTGAAACTCATTGGCCAAGGGTCTCATCTCTGTTAATGTTGGTAGGAGATGAAAGCCTAAAAGCTTTGTTATTCTATTAAGTTAACTGTACAAGTGTGATCTAAAGATTCCAGCCTCCCTGCTATTAGCCATGATGGTATGTGCAAAAAAAATAACAGGGTATTATGAAAGTTGCAAAGTGAAGTATTACATTAATTTGTCAGCCTTGTATACATATTGTGATAATAAAGTCTTTAATGCTATGATACGTATTTTTTTCTGTAGGACTCCACACTTATCACTGGACAGTGAATTACTGAGCAGCTAATTCAGTATTTTTTAATCTCATTTTTCAGCGTGTGGCCGTATTTACTGCACATTATTGAAATGGTGCTTAGAACATAGAGTTATTAATATCCTGGGCTTTTTATGGTCACTGTGGTGTCTGTGTTCTTCCCAGACATTAATTAACTTATTTTTACAACGCTCTTGTGAGACAGAGCAGCTTTGTATTAATTTTACAAATGAGGAGCTGAGGTACACAGTTTGAGGTCAAAAGCATCTCTTCATTTTGTGCGCTCAGTTTGAGATCTCTCAACCCTAGTTTTTCAGTGTTTGGCATTAAACAACGTTTTATATTTCTAAAGTACATCTCCTGCTGACTTCATTTGTAGCTGTGAGCTCTCAGCACTTCTGCAAATCAAACCCCTTAGTGTGAGGAGTTCATAATTAGAGACCACCTCTGAAATGGTCGGTTTAAGTGATTTCCCCTGCATATGTAGGAACTGTTTCACACAGAAAGGGATGGCTTGCTTTCTGTCCCCGTCTCTCTCTGTCTTTCCCTGCAGTCCCCTGCATCATTCTCTACACATGTTTCAGTATATGCAAAAATGAGACGGGGAATTTTACAGACAAGTATTTTCCAATACACAACCCTAATTCATCTCCAGAGCATGATGGAAAACTGTTATGGGTTCATGTCTTCAGAGACTGTATCATAATGTATATGCCTAAGGAGAGGGATTTTTTTGTTTATGTCCAGGTTTCTAAATTGTCTTAGTCCAAAGAAAGTAAGGGGTTTATTATACTATTTAGATCTGCAGTTCTAACCTTTATTTTAGGAGATTACTCACTGACAGAACTTGCGGACTCAGTCCTGTTTGTGGTGAGTTTTAGGGTAGCCAGATTTTTGTTTATTGCTTGCTTTTTTTTCTGGATTATTTAAGTTCTTCAAAATCCTCACAGTTATCATCCTGATGGTAGAAAGAATCTTTGTCTTCTTCCCTTAGTGTTTAAACAAAATGATTAATTAGGAGAATTTAAACTTGAAACGTTAATAATTTCAGATCTTGAATGGAAAAAAATAAATTCTTATGGGTAACAAATAGGGTTTTGACTTCATTCACTGTCCATGTAATGTAACTTGCATACAACTAGCAGCCTTTCTCATAGCAATCATA